ATGTATCTGGTCACGATCAAAAGCGAAGGCCAATCCAAACTGAGAGAAGGGCTGGAGGGGGGGGGGGGGGGGATGCATACATGTACCACGACGGGGAACCAGTGCCCATCACAGGGTTTTTGTTTGGAGTAAACATGTTGTAAAGCACGCCACCGGGGAAGTTGGGGTAAGGTTAGGGATAGGGTCTGCGTTTCCCCTCCCTGTTCTACATATTTCCTCACAAACTTAATGGACGGGTGCTCATGATCGGGTTTTCACGACATCGCCTTGCCTTCGCCCATGATGGGGAGTATGACGGCCAGGGTCCAAAAGCAAAGAAGGTATACGAGAGAGAGGGGGGGGGGGGGTTCTTTCCTATCCTGGAATAAAACAACAACGTCACTTCATCATTGACCACTTGAGGAAGGGATGGAGCATCCTGGACGTGTGTGCAGCCACAAGGAAACTTACTACAAGTTTCATCGCGTCACCTGGAAAACCACGATGGGGATCTTCAGCTTGTGTAGGGGCAGCTCCTTAACCTTGGACACCATGCGGCTGTTCCTGCAGGAAAGGAAGCGACCAGGGCTGACTGGCTCTTGAATCTGTGAGGCAGAGACAGGGGCATACACAGAGCCGGGGAGCGCGGGGGCGTGCTTATGTTTTTAGTGCCTTAGCGGATAGACCATTGACCACGCGTCCATGCCTTAGAGAGTAAGGTTGATACTGCTTCTTCCACTTGCCCGATAATCGGACAAAACATCTCGATACCGACAGTTCCTGCTCCTAAAATATACACACCACGGCCATGCTCCACGCTCAATGACGTCGCTTCCATGTTTCTGTATTCTTCCACCCGAACCTCTCACTCCCACCCGAACCTCTCGCGAGAGGCGGACGGGCACAGGTCTCAAGCTAGGAAGCAACAACATCCAGCCGGGTGATAAGTTAAAAATACTTCCCTCCTTCCTTAACTGTCGTCGCCAAAAAAAGACGCGTGTTATCCCGCCGCTTCGACCTCTAAAAAATGACGCAAAACTTCCGTCTAAGTCCGGCTGGTGCTTCCAGAATTGCATCGAAAAGGTGTACAACAACAAAAAAACGAACCTCATTCATGAAGGTGCGCGGAGCCACACTACAAAAGCACTTAGCACTTATCTAGCACTTACCAGATATCGAAAGAGTAGCCACGCACAGGCCAGGGCCAAGAGACCTCCGAGGACGGCGAGCACGTACATCCACGCGCGAAACGCCTCCGTGCATTCGTGGCACCCGTTCGAGATGCCGCCGGCATACCCCGATAAGCACACGGCACAGTCTGCGTTTTTTTTTGCGTTTCGTTTCGTCAACAGCATTGTGCGGGACGGACAGGCAGGTGCCACGGCAAAATCGTCCCATTCACTGCTGTCAAGACTTCAACATACCTCTTCAACTGGGACACGTACGTACTGCTGTATCTCGAAGGTGCAGCCTTTCTCAGAGCGTATGTACGTTGCAAGGAGGCCACGCAGTGAGATCGGACAAGCAAAAAAGTCGACAACGGAAAAAAAGGGGCCCCGCAGATTGGATGTGTGATCGGTTTGTCTCCCCCCTTGGGCACCTCCGTGCCAGCAAGGCCTGCAGTCCACACTGGGACATCGTTATCGTAACACCCCTCGTCGTGGGAACACTCAACACAACACATGGAGAAAATGGAGCCATGCATGCAGCTAGACACGACTACAGCAAGAGGAGCGAACGCATTTTCTGTTCTGTTTGCTAGACAGACATTTCATTCTTCCTACTGCTGCGCGACCCTACACTAGCATACGCGTCTACCACCACACACAGATTCCCCCCCCCCAAAAAAATACGCTTGGTGATGTGAGAGCCTGGTCCGGTGAGAACCCGGCGTGCTCCGTCCCGGCTTTGTAGGGATGCGAGGTCAATGGTCTAACGACTACGGCATGCACGACTATGAGCACCCCCCCCCCCCCCCCCAAAACTCACAGGGGCCCCGGGACCCCACGGGGCCATAAACCTCCCAATGGGAAAACCCGGAACCCCCCC